AAAATAAAAATTTAACAATTTTAATAATCGTAACAAATTTAAGAGTGCTATAACAGCAGCCCTCTTCAACATTTGCGTGTGACATTCAATGGAATGGACAAATGCTAAGCCATGGAATAGGAGAGAACCCCTATTTCAAGTTTGAAAGATCAATCATCTTTATTTTTCGTTAGGATAACGGGGCACATAAGTGGAAGACCTAGGATTTTAGATGAGGAGATTTGTTTAAAGTATTATTATTTTTTACTTATTTTAGTTGTGTTACTTTAATTTTTATGTAAAGTTTAATTTAATAATTTTATATAATAAATATATAATAATTAAAAATATTTTTCTTGTTAATCATAATATTTGTTGAATATTATTACTTAGATTAAAAAAGTTTACAATTGTCATTTATTTATTATATAAAATCATCAAGTTAATTAACATAAATTTCATTGAAGAGAATTAAAAAAACACTAGAGGCGTAACATATATTTGTCAAGTTGTAGATTTATATTTAAAATTAAACTTAGACATGTTTGATGTAAAAAATAATGTATTTTGAAATTTTTAAAAATTAGTGAATAATTATTTAGTTGCATATGAAAAAAATAAAATAAAACACATATAATAAATTTAAAAATGTATAAAAAATTAGTATAGTAATTGATAAAAATAAATAAATAAATTTGATTCAATAAAAAATTATGAGATAAAGTTAAAAACTTTTCAAAAGATTGGGGCGCCAAGAGCCTTCGCTGATGCGGATGCAATGATATTGCCCAATGATTCCAATTTGGAGGGATTAAAACAAGTATTTGTGGGATTAAAACAAGTACTAGTACTGCACCATATCTTCAGGTTAATTGAATAGTTGGGTTAATTTTTTACTTAAAAGCTTATTTGATATGGTAGTTAAAATTTAACGAATAATAGATAACAATTAATAGTTAAAAAAAAGTCTTTTTTCAGTAAATTGATTGAAAAAGAGCTATTTTATTCCTTTACTTCAAAACTTTCATAATTTAACGTGTTACGTGTGTAAAAAATAATAAAAGAATTAAAAAAGAACTAAATAATAAATTTTAATGGGTTAAAAAGAGACTTTCTTAAATAAAAAGAATAAAAAAAAGGTTTTTTTTGTTAAAATAGAAAAACCAAAATGAGGTTTTAACCTTTCATCTACATAATTTTGTGCCCTAAATCTTGTGTCTTTATTTTCCTAATAAGCAGATACAGAATTGTATTGCATATCATATACAGGCAGCAAGGTGGTGGTTCATGGCCAATGACCTTTCTTTATTTTTTTAAGTTAGCATAATGTGTTTTTAGACTAATTTATGTGTATTTTGAGATTTATTTCTTTTCAATTCAATTAAAAATATGTCATTCATATTAAGATTTCAGTTGAAGTCTAATCAAAGATAAGTAATTGACACTAAAACTAAAAAATTTACAAAAAAATTATCTTTTATTAAATTTTCTAAGAAATTAAATCTTAATAAAAATGATTGTAAAAAAATTATATTACCAACTAAACCACCACAACTCCTTAAACTGCGAATGACCTTCGTTATTGAATTGCTTTATACATTGTAAACTTGGTCGTCCACTTGAATTATGAGCTACTTCCACCTTAATTTCTAAGAAGGCTGAATTCTATGAAGTACAAGAGGTTCTTTCCTTTTCCTAGAATGTTGACTAGTACGTCATAAAATTTTCCATATATGAGAAGCTGCCCTTATCTTTATTTGGTTGACTTTGGACTTGGTCCTATGGTCCATGTGCTAAAAAGAAAAGCTCTACTATATATACATTACAAATACTTAACTAATTTCACAAGCATTTATCAATTATTTAAATAATTTAATACTTATTTTTT